GGGTAGCAGCCTGAGCGATGGCTCCCTGGAAATCATGGTGAGTGGGTTTCAGCCCCAAACAAGCCAGTGTCCTTTCACCAGCCCTCACTCAGTTCTCAGCCCCTTCTGGACCTGGAGGACTGTTTCTGTCACAGTTCTCTGTTAGGTGTGCCCTGTCGTAAAATGAGACCCCCATTTCTGTTCAAAACTCTTCCTCCACACTTTTATCCAATCCTTACCAGGGCCCTTCTCTAGGGCCTGAATTGCTCTATCCAAGTCCCTCTGTTAGGTATTTACAAAGGGTTGCTTCTGCAGCTCTTGGAGCATCAGTTCGCCATTGGGGCAGGTATAGACCGCAACTTGACCTCTCCTGTGACCTTGAACTTGCAGGTGAGCTTAGGTGGGAAGGAGACTAGAAAGAATAGAAGAGGGGAAACCCTGCTTTGCCCATCTTCTCAGCTGGCCCATCCAGTGCCCACAGGCCCTGTTCTCAACCTTCCCCATCACCTACCTGCAGGAGACCACGCTGGCCGCCAGCAAGCCTCGGGACCAGGCCTCCAGGCTCCAGTGGACACTGAACACGGGTGGGGGCCTGGCCACGGCAGGAGCTGGGACTGTGTGGGTGACGTGGGAATGTTGGCCAGGACCCAAAACAAATCTTGAGGGTCTTGGGCAGTGTCTAGATCCAGGTTAGGGGCTTAAAGTTTTGAAGTGAGTCTAGAAAACTTGGGTTTGTGACTGGGGTTTGGTACCAAAATAAGATTTGGAATCTGGTGTCAGTGTCCAGTTCTGGGAGCATAATATGGAGTCTATAATAGACTAGGTTTAGTGGTCCCAGAGATGGGGCTTGAGGGTGTGAGGATCCTGGCCAGACATTTGGGAATTTGGAGGTGATATCCAGTCCTAGGAAGCAATTTAAGGGTCTGGAGGTGAGGCCATGTGCACAGATCTGAGGGTTTATGGCTGTGTCCAGGTTTATGGCAGGGAGCGTGGTAGGCAAGGCAGAGGAAGGTCTGTGCCCCCTCACTCCTCCCCTTCCCATGCATACTAGGCCCTGTAACCCAAACCATGCCCTCCTTGCTGGACCCCACTGCCATCACTCTGCATACCATGGAAATCGCAGCTTCTTGGCCTTGGTGCAATGGAAGGAGAATATCTAGAGCTGCTGGATGCCTCTGTAAGCCAGAGTCCCTTCTGCCACCAACAAAAGCCATTAAAATGCTATCACCAGGGCCCAGGATGAGAAGTGACTGCATGTGATTGTTTGGAGCAGATGAGGGGGATAAACCCAGAAAAGTCACAAACCCTAGCTGACCCAACCCAAGGCTTGTAAGGGAGCTTCTTGGTGGCTTGAATCCTCACACCAGACCCTCATGCACTATTCATGGTCAGCTACCACTCATTGCTCCATCTGCTGCTTCCGTCCTCCATCTACTCTCCAGAGCTGCCTGGAGAGGCCACAGGGGACAGGCCTGTTCTGGATTCTGGAGCCCAGAGAGCCCGACACATTCTGGGTTGCCCCTGACCTGGCCTTGGGGGGCTGAGGCCTGAGGGTGAGCAATCTGGGAGGTCCTGGTAGAGGAGATGGTATCAGAGGCAAGTCCCAAAGGGAGGCCTTGGACAGGTGAGCTACAGCTACGGACTTCCCAGCAGACAGAGGCAGAGTCTGGCACTTTAAGGGCTTCTAGTGTGTTCTGCGATGTGTTTTTTTAGAAAGAGATGTTGGGATTAAGCTTGTGGTTTGGAGTCAGAAGGAACTGACTTCATCACCAGAGGGTGTAGGCGTGCACTAGTCCTGCAAAAGTTCATGGAGAGTCAAATAGCTTCACCTGTAGCCGAGGTGCAAATCAGTGTCTGGATGCACCTCCTGGAAATTTACAGTGACGCATTGGATAGGGAACTCCTAAGACAAGGAGGCCTGAGGGGGTGCCCCCAGGATCCCCAAGTTCCCATGTGAG